CTGTCCCCTGAAGCTCATATCAAGAGGATAACAGCAGCAGCATATGCCAGGTTGGCTAACATAAGAACGGCCTTTAGAAACTTGTGTAAGGAATCTTTCAGAACATTATATACCACATATGTCAGACCAATCCTGGAGTATGCGGCACCAGCATGGAGTCCATATCTAGTCAAGCATAAGACTAAACTGGAAAAGGTTCAAAGGTTTGCCACCAGACTAGTACCCGAGCTGAGAGGTATGAGCTACGAGGAGAGACTACGGGAATTAAACCTCACTTCGTTGGACGACAGAAGAGTTAGGGGGGACATGATCACCACATTCAAGATCCTCAAGGGAATCGACAGGGTTGATAAAGACAGGCTGTTTAAGACAAGAGGCACACGCACTAGGGGACACAGGTGGAAACTGAGTGCCCAAATGAGCCACAGAGATATTAGAAAGAACTTTTTTAGTGTCAGAGTGGTTGACAAATGGAATTCATTAGGAAGTGATGTGGTGGAGGCTGACTCCATACACAGTTTCAAGTGTAGATATGATAGAGCCCAATAGGCTCAGGAACCTGTACACCTGTTGATTGACAGTTGAGAGGCGGGACCAAAGAGCCAGAGCTCAACCCCCGCAAGCACAACTAGGTGAGTACACACACTTGGCGGGATCCAAGAGTCAATGCTCGATCCTGCAAGCACAAATAGGTGAGTACACACACACTATATTAGTTATATTTTGGTAGCAGTCTTTCTTGTAAAGATATGTTGTTGAATATGTCCGAAAGGGTAAGATTAATAATTCTAACACGAATCTAATCAATATTTCTTATGTTTTTCTTCACTTTCGAAGGTAATTGAAAAATTAACTCTCCAAAATTCATTCTTTATTTTTGGTCTGACGCCTGAACGTGTTAAGTAATGCTTCTTACATTTTCAAAGACAAGGTTACACACAACATACATCATACTTATACTAGTTTTGGGTGAGGTGATATGGCACAAAAGTTTTGGGTGAGTGGCAGAACTATGCCAGAACACGAATTTATGGGTATGAAAACATGAGAATGGAAGTAACTGCAGAAGGCCTATTGACCCATACTTTCTCCTGCTGCTTCTCTGTTGGTTCGGGGTCTTGAAGTGGGTAGAATATAATTGTGCAGTAATTGGTTGTTGATTACTGGTGTTGACTTTTTGATGTGTAGTGCCTCGCTGATGTCGAATCTGCTGCTATCGCTGTATTTATCGATGTTTTCTGTGTTGATTGTTAAGATTTCTCTAGTGATGGTCTGGTTGTGAGAAGAGATTAAAGGGACGTTGTTGTCTTGCTTATATACCGAGTTCCTTGGGGCTTACAGTCCCCAAGTGGGCATTTGAAGGCATAGACGACGTTGGTTTCCTTCAAGGCGTTCTGTTTGGTGTCTGGAAAGTTTTTCACGAGTAGTTTGGCCGTTTTTTTGTTTTTTAGAAAATTGTCAATTGTATTTTCTGAATTTTGTCTGTAGGGATAACGTTTCTATCAATAATATCTTACAGGATCCATTCCTCTGTTTTATGAGCGTATAAAACGGAGGAAAGGGTCCTGAAAGATATTATTGATAGGAACGTTATTCCTACAGACAAAAACGAGAAAATACAATTGACAATTTTCTAAAAAACAAAAAACGGCCAACCTAGTCAAGAAAAACTCCCCAGACACCAAACATGTCTATGCAGTCTCTCATGTCGTGTGATGCTCTTTATCGAGTCTTCCGGAACTCTCAACTTAGTGTACTTCATCATATTTTCAATTTTTATCTTGGATTTTACCTGCAAATGTTTCAGCCATATTGCCAGTGGACGACACAGTAATGTCGCGTGTGGAGGACACAGTAATGTCGCGTGTGGAGGACACAGTAATGTCGCGTGTGGAGGACACAGTGAGTGGAGAGCGATGTATGAGAGAGAGAAAGAGGAGGCCAAAATAGCCAGTGTGAGGGTGGCCAGCACACACACTCGTCAAGCATGAGCACAATGTGAGCCACACCACCACCACCCCAACACCTGGTGTGTCTGTGTGCACCGACCGTGGCTCCTCCTGCCAAACATTCCTCCACTTCCCACAAGTATACTTCTCTACAGCCAGTCTTACTCATAAGGCAATGGTTATGTCAACGTCACCAGCTCATCACTACCCACGATGTAAAGTACCAACGAGGAAACATCATACTTGTGTTATTGATATTTACACGCTGCTGTCACCACGTTGAGGGCCACGGGCCACTCCGGAGCCCACCAGGAGGGCCGGGTTGGGGGCCAGGGGCCACACTGAAGCCCAGTGTAACAATAATGGCAGGGTCTTCTTACAAATGTATAATACTGACATTTTGAGATACATTAGAAGCTATTGACAGTCATCTTCAAATTCTCAAACCGACTGAATTCTATGCCTTTACTGATGGCTCTATGCAGTTAGGCACTGGTAGAACAGGTTGTGCATGTGCAGTGTATAAAGGGAATGAAATGATCATGTCTAGTACACAGAGACTGAACAACTGGGCAAGCACGACACAGACCGAGCTATTGGGCATTTATCTAGCCACTGAATACCTTAAGCTCAATGGTGGTGGAGTTATTTTCTGTGACTCTAAAAGTGCTCTGCAGTCCTTAAATAACCCATCACAATGTATGTCTGAAGTAGCTTGTAATATTAAATAAAATGCAATTTTTGCCAATGATAATAACTATTGTATAAAACTTGTGTGGATCCCATCCCATGTTGGAGTTGGAAAACATGACTTTGTAGATCAATTGGCCAATGAGGCTTGCAGGAAAGAAAACATTGATTATGACTTTGGACTATCTAATGCAGTTATTAGAAACATACAAATTAAAGAAATTAATTCAGATTTAGAAGAACTAAGAAATGCCCAGAGACCTGAAAGCTGCAGTATTAAAAGTTATGACAAGTTTTGTAATAATAGGTATTTGTATGGTCAGCACATTAACCGGACCAGGCAATGTGATATAGTCATTGCGCGAATCCGCTTTGGCTATAGACACATCTGGCAGGTTAGTGAGGCTGAGCCACTACCAGAATACTCAGATTGTAAACTCTGTGATAAACCTTTAATGCATTCACTAGAACACTATATTGTTGAATGTGAAACCCTAAAGGACTTTAGACCTCCTGGCCTATTGTACCACCAACTGTGTAACTATTTTATTGACTCAGGTGTTCTGGACGACATCCTAACAATTCACCCAAAATTTGCTTGTCCATTTTAAAGAATGAAGAACAATTTTTATTTATATTACTTCTAAGCTGCATCACTTATGAACCCATCCCTGCCCTTGTGTGGCACTGCACAATAGAAAGTTGTTTTCACATATCCATATATTAAACCATTGATTGCAACCATGATATATATGTGCTTCCGCCTACAGTTTAGACCTATTGTCTTATGTATGACCCTCTGTCCTGCGTGACAAGTGAATACCAGCATTATCCTCACTTTAATAAGACTTATTCGAAATTCTCAGACTAGGCAAAATTGTAATTAATTTTGTCAATAACGATGTTAATAATAAATAACACATACCCACTAAGTAAAACATCTAAACTATTGGGACCGACTAAAGAGCCTAAATCTGTACTCCCTTGAGCGCAGGCGGGAGAGATACATAATAATTTACACGTGGAAAATAATTGAGGGGCTGGTCCCAAACCTGCACACAGAAATAACACCACATGAGACCAGAAGGCATGGCAGGATGTGCAGAATACCCCCGTTGAAGAGCAGAGGTGCAACAGGTACTCTGAGAGAGAACTCTAGCAACATCAGAGGCCCGAGACTGTTCAACACGCTTCCACAACTCATAAGGGGCATAACTGGCAGACCCCTCACAGTGTTCAAGAGAGAACTGGATAAGCACCTCCAAAGGATACCTGATCAACCAGGCTGTGACTCATACGTCAGGCTGCGAGCAGCCGCGTCCAACAGCCTGGTTGATCAGTCCAGCAACCAGGAGGCCTGGTCGACGACCGGGCCGCGGGGACGCAAAGCCCCGGAAGCACCTCAAGGTAATCTCAAAGTAAGGTACCCACCACAGCCCGGTTGATCCGGCACTTCTTTTAGAAAACAGTCCAGTTTCCTCTTGAAGATGTCCACGGTTGTTACGGCAATATTTCTTATAGTCGCTGGGAGGACGTTGAACAACCGCGGACCTCTGATGTTTATACAGTGTTCTCTGATTGTGCCTATGGCACCTCATGGCACCTCTGCTCTTCACTGGTTCTATTCTGCATTTTCTTCCATATCGTTCACTCCAGTACGTTGTTATTTTACTGTGTAGATTTGGGACTTGGCCCTCCAGTATCTTCCAGGTGTATATTATTTGATATCTCTCTCGTCTCTTTTCTAGAGAGTACATTTGGAGAGCTTTGAGACGATCCCAATAATTTAGGTGTTTTATCTCGTCTATGCGTGCCGTATATGTTCTCTGTATTCCCTCTATTTCAGCAATCTCCATCGCGTCCAACAGCCTGGTTGACGAGACGACCAAGCAGGAGGCTTGGTCAGAGACCGGGCCGCGGAGACGTTGATTCTCGGAATCACCACAAGGTAGGTAGGTAGTTACAGGAAGTAGACAAACGTACACAACCTGTTAATGAACGTTTCCAGAGAACGTCCGGGTGAAACTTTCAATCACCTTCACAGTAATAAAGCTCTTACGCTCAGGAATATTGGAGTGAAAGACGAAACGACCAGCTAACACCCACAAAGGGAAAGTTATCTTGAGGTTATCTTGAGATGATATCGGGGCTTTAGTGTCCCCGCGGCCCGCTCCTCGACCAGGCCTCCACCCCCAGGAAGCAGCCCGTGACAGCTGACTAACACCCAGGTACCTATTTTACTGCTAGGTAACAGGGGCATAGGGCGAAAGAAACTCTGCCCATTGTTTCTCGCCGGCGCCCAGGATCGACCCCGGGACCACAGGATCACAAGTCCAGCGTGCTGTCCGCTCGGCCGACCGGCTCCCATTTGAAGGTTGATTCAATAACAAAAAGTCCCCCACGGGACGACGCTGTCCAATATAAAAGTCGATTGTATTATCATACAAAAATACTTTGATGAGAAAACAAAGAGGTATTTTCAGGTTACTGCACGGAAACTGTTGCCAAGGAAACGTGAAGAATGGTGTTCAACGCCGACCCTGACGTTCAACGAGGGCCCCCCGGCGTTCAACGAGGGCCCCCGGCGTTCAACGAGGATCCCCCGGCGTTCAACGAGGATCCCCCGGCGTTCAACGAGGATCCCCCGGCGTTCAACGAGGATCCCCCGGCGTTCAACGAGGATCCCCCGGCGTTCAACGAGGATCCCCCGGCGTTCAACGAGGATCCCCCGGCGTTCAACGAGGATCCCAAGGCGTTCAACGAGGATCCCAAGGCGTTCAACGAGGATCCCAAGGCGTTCAACGAGGATCCCCCGGCGTTCAACGAGGGGCCCCCGGCGTTCAACGAGGGCCCCCGGCGTTCAACGAGGGCCCCCGGCGTTCAACGAGGGCCCCCGGCGTTCAACGAGGGCCCCCGGCGTTCAACGAGGGGCCCCGGCGTTCAACGAGGGCCCCCGGCGTTCAACGAGGGCCCCCGACGACGCCATGACCAACACCAACACCCTCCCATTCACTCCCCCCAACACCTTCCCATCCACTCCACCCCCCCCCCCACATCCATTCATCCACTCCCCCCCTACATCCACTCATTCCTTCCCCCCCCACATCCACTCATTCACTCCCCCCCACATCCACTCATTCACTCCCCCCCCACATCCACTCATTCACTCCCCCCCACATCCACTCATTCACTCCCCCATCTACTCATTCACTCCTCCCTCCCACATCCACTCATTCACTCCCCCCCACATCCACTCATTCACTCCCCCCCCCACATCCACTCATTCACTCCCCCCCCACATCCACTCATTCACTCCCCCCCCACATCCACTCATTCACTCCCCCCCCACATCCACTCATTCACTCCCCCCCACATTCACTCATTCACTCCCCCCCAAATCCACTCCCCCCCCCCACATCCACTCCCCCCCCCCACATTCACTCATTCACTCCCCTCCAACATCCACTCATTCACTCCCCCCCACATTCACTCATTCACTCCCCCCCACATCCACTCATTCACTCCCCCCCACATCCACTCCCCCCCCACATCCACTCATTCACTCCCCCCCCACATCCACTCCCCCCACATCCACTCATTCACTCCCCCCATATCCACTCATTCACTCCCCCCCCATCCACTCCCCCCCCACATCCACTCATTAACTCCTCCCCCCATATCCACTCATTCACTCCCCACCACATCCACTCATTCACTCCCCCCCCCCCCCACATCCACTCATTCACTCCCCCCCACATTCACTCCCCCCACATCCACTCATTCACTCCCCCCCCCCCCACATCCACTCATTCACTCCCCCCCCACATCCACTCATTCACTCCCCCCCCACATCCACTCATTCACTCCCCCCCCACATCCACTCATTCACTCCCCCCCCACATCCACTCATTCACCCCCCCACATGCACTCCCCCCCCCTCACATCCACTCATTCACTCCTGTTATGATCCATATATTAACCTGGTTCCTATCTACACAATTTGCATACTTGTGTTATGCATATAAATACATTCATTTCCTTTTGTATTGTAGTTGTCAACATTCACGGACCCATGTTACTGCTGGGTTATTAATTACATTTATACTATTGTGTTGCAGTATGATATTATATTAAATTCCTCCTTGTATTAGAATGTAAGGTTTGATGTATTACACAATCATGAGAGGCGTCCATCGTAGCACAGGTCATGGACGTGTGGGGTACAGAGTTGGGCTGTGGGAGTCTCAGGTACCAGTTATAAAGCCCGTCCTCCTGTTTTGGTAGTACTTATAGGAAGGATGAGGACCAGAGTACATATACCTTATAGGAAGGATGAGGACCAGAGTACATATACCTTATAGGAAGGATGAGGACCAGAGTACATATACCTTATAGGAAGGATGAGGACCAGAGTACATATACCTTATAGGAAGGATGAGGACCAGAGTACATATACCTTATAGGAAGGATGAGGACCAGAGTACATATACCGACCTAAGATAATTACGCATCATCCCATAAGGCAAGTAAGGTGTCGCTTGTTTGCAATGGATCTGGGATGCATGTGCTGTGTTACTACGTTTATATTTCAGCGGGTCATTATTCACGCGCTTTGATATTAAGTTTATGCCACAGTGAGTAGTCTTTACGTGTTTGCTGAGTGGTCATAAACCTATTGCCAGTCGAAGTGTTAATAAAATGTATTTTGTTTAACTTTATTTGTTAGCATCCTGTGCTCTAAACTGGTAAACTTGGCAACTTTGTTCCTGTCATTTACCTAAATGGCAGTTATTTGAACAGACCTTTGAGAATTAATGTTGCTGCGGAGTTTACGAGCCTTGCTGATTGTAAAATGTTGTAACACCTCCACCACACATCCTCCCATTCAACCCCCCCCCCCTCTCCACACCCCGAGGCAGGAGTTGTAGAGGAACATGTCAGAGGTAATCTACATCTCCCTGAGCCAGGAGGAGGAGCAGACACGTGGCGAAGAACAACATATAGGGACCAGACTACAAGAACTGTGTGCAGAAATGCCCGACAGACCTCTGGAACATTAACACAGTGCAGTTACAAGCCCCATTAAGATTTCAACTTAGATTAAATAGAGCAGAAGTTGTTAAGCACATTGAGGAAAATCTTACTAAAGCGACCATACGTGTCATAAGTACTCATACCCCGCCTAAACAGAAACAAGCAACACTTAGTGGGCCAGCCAGAGGCTTAGGGCCCCACAGGATTAGCCCTGAAAGAAAGAAAGAAACACACTCACCGGAACACAGACTAATGAGACGACCACGGAAATTGAGCAATACTGTTGGCTTGGTATTTACCATATAGTGAGGAATCGACAGGTTAAAGTAATCTTTCTGAATATTACTCAAGTGAAATGTATACTAGATGAAAAGTGGAAATTGATATAAAGACATTATTTCCCCCCCCCCCCCAACCAACAAAGGTGATGGGACATGGAGAACAAAATGGAACACACACCAGACAAGCACCTCGTGAAACAGCATATTACAGAACCAGCATGAGTAACGGGAGAGGACCCACAAGCAACACTAGACTTGGTATTTACCTAAAATTAGGCAGATATCGAAAAGCTAAGTGTATGATATGCTCCTAGGAGTTCGCGGCTCCTCGAAAACGAAGGTCCTCAAGGAGCTCTATTAAAGACTCGTGCTTGAGTCTCTAACAGAGCTAAAGGAACTGGATAGACCACGAAGCACATTGAGGAAGCAGAGACTACAGACAGTGAATACAGCAAAGTGAGGAACTATCTGAGTTAAGTTCAATTGCCGAAACAACCGTGGACATCTTCAAGAGAAAACTAGACTGTTTCCTAAGAGAAGTGCCGGACCAACCGGGCTGTGGTGGGTATGTGGGCCTGCGGGCCGCTCCAAGCAACAGCCTGGTGGACCAAACTCTCACAAGTCAAGCCTGGCCTCGGGCCGGGCTTGAGGAGTAGAACTCCCAGAACCCCATCAAGCAGGTATCGAGCAAGCAAGCAGGCGAACTGGAAGGGAACATAATTAACGATATAATAGAAATTATTGCTTAGAAATGTGCAGATGCAATAGAGCTGTACATCCTACACAAGAAGGTGGACAAGAAAGGCTAAATAAACCTCTCCTTTAATAGGCAGTGCAAAGCAGCAAAGGAGAGGCCCAAGAAAGCTAGGAATTGAGGAAAATAGAGATGTAGTTAAGAGGCAGAAATGAATACACCAGTAAAGAGTGAAGCTGAGAGAGAGAATATGAAAATGACGTTGTAGCAAAAGCTAAGGACCAGCCAAAGATGTTTTATAGCCTATAAAGAGAACAAAGAACTTGTAAAGAGGCCGTGTGATCAGGTTAGAAAAATATGGGGAAATTCTCACAGAAAAATAACAAGGAAGTGTGTGAGGAATTCAACAAAATTTTAGGAGGTCTTTACAAATGAAGCAATGTGGAGGCCTGAACTGGGTGATGAGAGACTAGAGGAAACTCTGGATGACATAGTGATCACTAAGGAAGAGGTTAAAGAATACCTGAAGGAACTAGATGCAACAAAATGAATTAGGCCAGACTTAATATCAACACTGCTACTGAAAGAGGCTGCAGAAGTGTTTTTCATCCAATAACTGGTGTTTTCAATACCACTTAAAACAGGAAATCCAAAATTCTGAAAACAAGACTGTCCCTATATTCAAAAAAAGGGAACAAACAGGAAGCACTAAATTAAAGACCAGTGTCACAGACAAGTATATTTTCCATTAAAAGTGCTAGAGTAATGAGGCTGAGAAAAGTGGAGGAACTAGAAAGGATAAATTACGTATCAGAACACCACAGAATGTCGTGTATTGCAAACATGATCGAGTTTTATGCAAGGGTCCTAAAATTCTACAGGAAAAATAAGGCTGGTTTTACTGCATTTTACTTGATTGTCAAATAGCATTTGATACTGCTTGACACCTGGTTGATGGGGTTCTGGGATTTGTTCTACTCCCCAAGCCCGGCCCGAGGCCAGGATTGACTTGTGAGAGTTTGGTCCACCAGGCTGTTCCTTGGAGCGGCCCACATACCCACCACAGCCCGGTTGGTCCGGCACTCCTTAGAGAAAACAGTCTAGTTTTCTCTTGAAAATGTCCACGGTTGTTCCGGCAATATTTCTGATAGTCGCTGGTAGGACGTTGAACAACCGCGGACCTCTGATGTTCATGCAGTGTTCTCTGATTGTGCCTATGGCACCTCTGCTCTTCACTGGTTCTATTCTGCATTTTCTTCCATATCGTTCACTCCAGTACGTTGTTATTTTACCGTGTAGATTTGGGACCTGGCCCTCCAGTATTTTCCACGTGTATATTATTTGGTATCTCTCTCGTCTCCTTTCTAGAGAGTACATTTGGAGAGCTTTGAGACGATCCCAATAATTTAGGTGCTTTATCGCGTCTATGTATTCCGTATATGTTCTTTGTACTTCCTCTATTTCAGCAATCTCTCTTGCTCTGAAAGGGGAAGTGAGTACTGAGCAGTACTCAAGACGGGACAACACAAGCAACTTGAAGAGTACAACCATTGTGATGGGATCCCTGGATTTGAAAGTTCTCGTAATCCATCCTATCATTTTCCTGTCTGTCGCAATATTTGCTTGGTTATGCTCCCTAAACGTTAGGTCGTCGGACATCATTATTCCCAGATCCTTGACATGCTGTTTACCTACTATTGCTGTACCTGCTGTGTCCTACTTACCCCCAGCAGGCACACACAGCACGTCGGTGGGTCCCGAGTCAGATCACCTACCTGAAACAAAGTAAAAAAAATATTAAGTATCACTGTAAGACCCATCCCTTACAACACACACACACACCACCAACACCGAGTTACTCATCATGCAGTCACTGTGCACAACACTCCCCACCAACACAACAACCCATTAAGGGGTGGTTGTTGAGATTCAGCTATTTGGAACAAAAAGTTCCAAGTAGCACGGGCTATGGTGAGCCCGTAGTGG